AAAGCCTTTGGGATGGCTCCATGGGGCAAAGGTGCCCGTCACCCAGACTTGCCACCTGAGTTCCATCCCTGAGACCCGCAGGATGAAAGGAGAAATCTAACTTCTAGACAAGTACCAGAACATGCATGCTGTTGCACGTGCAAATGAATACATCAATGGAATATTTTTGAAAGAGAAAATGAAAAGGCTGGTCTCTAAGGACTGCTCTGTGGGAAGAGGGAAGGAGCAGAATATGCATCTGCCTGGGTCGTCTGCTGCCCGTCTGGTCTGCAAGTTGGAAGTAGCCTACCTTGCTCCAATGAAGGCCATGGCTCCTGTGCCTACAGATCTCACATTTCATTAGTCATTTCTTTTCCTTTTAGGTCCAGGAATCAGAAAGGTTTCCACAGATGCTATTCTTGTGGAGTCTTTACTTCCCTTCCTGGTTTCCCAGTTTTAGCCACACCTTTATTCTGTTTGTACCTGCTCAGAGACTGGATGAGAATACACTGGAGAGTCTATTTGTCACCGTGAGATTATTTAGTGTGGACTGGAACCCTGTCAGTGTTTTCCACTCAGGGTCTAAGGAACAACAAGCTTCACTGGGAAGCTGTTTTCTTTGCTTCCAATCACTAAGGTTATTTCTCTGGGAGTTGATTTTAAAAATAGTAATAATGATTCTATAAAAGCAGATCACTTGCACATTAGGAGAAGTCACAGCTCCGTTTGTGGTCTTCAGGAAGCCATGGATCCTCAAGTTCTCTTTCCCCTTCACTGACCCTGCCCTGACCCTGCTCATTAGTGATTTCAAGAAAAATGCTGTGGCTGGCTGCTTGCCCTCACTATCTATGAAAGTTAACTGTGAAGAGTTATACAGCCCAAACTGTTTATAATTCAGGGATTTGCTGGTTTTCCTAGGTTGCAGGCTGAGTACTCCCATTAAGAAAGAGAAGAAGACCCATTCTAAAGTGGCATGTCTCAGCTACAGCATTACTTAGCTGCTGAGGGCTTCCACTGTAGACAATCAATAAAAGAACACATGTAGCCCCATGTACATGCAGCCTAAGGGACAAGAAGGCACATCTCAACCTAATGAAGTGCTTAGAGATGGGATAAAGATAGAAGGGAGATTTAGTTTAGTTTTCATGCTTGGGTTCGATATTTCAAATCCAAGCCCAGCAGTCCATTTCACGCAGGATCTGAGGAATGGTGAGTGCTACCCACAAGCCCACATCAAGAAAGTAGAGTGTGTGTTGCTCAACTATTTGGCGACGTTTTAACACCTGCTAATCATTACTGCATTGTTCATACATTTTCTCTCACAAACCACAGAATTTAATATTCCAGCGAGTAGGAGGCATAAAATTCATCTGGTTAAATTCTTCTGTTTTATAGATAAGAAAACTGGAATCCAGAAACATGAACTGCCTGCCTAGGTCAGACAGCTGCTAGAAGCAGAGACAGATGCAAGCTTGATTAGTTTTTGGCTCCTGGAGCAGCGTACTTTCAAACCTCAGGAATTTAATGTTCCAGATTACAGGGAGGGAGGACCAAAACACGTCAACCCTTTATTTAAGAGAACTTTCAAAAGCCCCAGAATCCATTAAATTTGTCTAAAAACTATCTGGAGGAGAAAGAAGAAACAATAATTATATATATATACATATATATATATGTGTGTGTGTGTGTGTGTGTGTATATATATATATATATATATTCTAAGGGAACTTATATAAACGTATCTGTAAATAGAAAACGGGCTTAAGTTTTTGGCAATAGTAGCAAAATGCAGCTTAAAACACTTTTAAGAGGGCTGCCTTGTAAAGTGAAGCAGCTTTTGACAACAAATGTGGCTAGAATTGTTCTAAAATGGTGATTCGTGAAGAAATCTAAGAGCCTCTTGCTGAGTCCATGTACTGCCGCCCTATACTTCGTGCTGACTGGCTCATAAAGATACTGGCAGATCACATTTCTATGCACTGCTCAAGAGGTGGGGGTGGGGAGCATGACTGAGCCATGGGTCTAGAGTACAGCTTTGATGTTACTGTCGGATCTGCTCCACAACTCACTTTCTAGGTGATCTTGGTCCACTAGGGAACCCCCTTGCCTCCTGTGGTTACTGGAAGAATCAGTACACTTAGGATCTTGCATTCAGGAAGGGTTCAATATAACCAGTACTCACTGTTTTTTATCAACAAAAGAATCTAATCTGAGCTCCAACAGTCACTGTGTGTGTGTGTGTGTTTGTCTTGGCATTACTTAATTTCAAATCTACTTACAAGTCGAAAATAAAAAGAACATGCACCAAAGAGCCACCAGAGGGAGCTCTCTGGTCAGGCTGGATTGTCGAGGTGTCCCGGCTTAACAGCAGCCCATCCTCACTGAGCCCTACATCCGCGTTCCTCCTTGAATTGAGGTTGCTGTGTGAAGGCAGACAGAACTGGTCTCTGCATTGTCATTTCTTGAATTCAAGTGGCCCAAAGCCACAGCTCTTCACAGTGGGCATGGCTGAAGGGTGCTCCTGAAAATAATGGTACCGAGATACTTTCACATAAAGGATACTGTATGTGTGTATACTAGTAGATAAGATAGATGACAGATAGGTAGGTAGATGATAGATAGATAGATAGATAGATAGATAGATAGATAGATAGATAGATAGATAGATAGATAGATAGATGATAGATAGATAGGCAGGCAGACAGATGTAGATAGATGATAGATAATGGAAGGACAAATGGGTAGATGGATGAATGGGTGAATGGACAGACAGGTGATAGATGATGGATGGATGGATGGACAGACAGGAAGGAAGATTTAATTGATTGACTGCACATACAGTCACTATGCCCCTTGGGGCATTTCTGGCTAGGAAATTAAAGAAGAGAGATCCAGTGATTGTGTTTTGGGAGATGATCTGGAACTGCAGAGCCGAAAGCCAGAGTGCAAAGCTCATCCAACTGGCTCAGGTTCATTTTAGACAAATGTGTGCATGTATTCTCCAGACAAGTCCAGAGGTGTAGACAGATTTTTCTTTGGGCCACCAGCTCACAAAAAAAAAAAAAAAAAAGACACAGAGACATTATTAATTATGAAAACTCGGCCTATAGCTTAGGCTTGTTCTTAACTAGCTCTTATAACTTAAATTAACCCATTTATGTTAATTTATCTTCTATCACTTGGTGTTACGTCTCTTCCATCTTGCACCTCCTGTTTCCTCTCCATGCCTCCTGGCTTCTCCTGTGCACCTAGCTTCTCATCCTCTTCCTTTCTCTTCTCAGAAATCTTGCCTATACCTCCTGCCTAGCTATTGGCTGTTCAGCTTTTTTATTACACCAATTACGACAATACACCCTCACACAGTGTACAAACACCCCACAACACCGTGGTGTGTCCAGGACCAACCCAGTTCCAGCTTGTGATGCTCTTTGGCCCATCATGTCACAGCACCATGCCTCTAACCCTTGTCAAGCTCAGCCTCTAGCTTCATAGAACCCCTCTTCACCCCTCAGCAAACCGCAAAGTGCTGGCAAAGAGTCAGACGTTGCTCACAGCCAAGGTGGATGCCCAGAGATCACTAACTCTTTCAGAAATATTTTTATGTTTATATTTGGAGTTCCGGGCTCTTTTATCCTGTCTCTCTTTGGCTTGACCCTCCCACACCTTGCATGTGTGTATGCCTATGTATGCATGTGTGTATGCCTATGTATGCATGTGTGCATGCCTATGTATGCATGTGTGTATGCCTATGTATGCATGTGTGCATGCCTATGTATGCATGTGTGTATGCCTATGTATGCATGTGTGTATGCCTATGTATGCATGTGTGCATGCCTATGTATGCATGTGTGCATGCCTATGTATGCATGTTTTTTGTGAGTATCTTGCTGTGGAAAGATACATCACCCCACAAGTCAACTGTAGCTTTCTACCCTGTAACCTAGGCCAGACCTTGGTTCTTGCCACGGGAACAGCCACACTACTTCTGTTCTGACATTGGAGCTCAGATCTGGGCTCCGAGAGCAGCAGTCTCCCATTTTTCCCAGCATGCCCTTCCCACTACTTTCCAGCTCCTCTTCCTGGCTCTCCTGGACTCCTCACTTAGATCCCACAGACCTAATCAACATCCCTTTACCTCAGAAAGAAACAAATTTAAAAACTTAGCAGTCCTCTCACAGAAATTCCTCCCAAGTCACTGGCATTCCTGATGAGGATGCCTCCACACAAATGTGAAGCCATTCCCCCCCATGTCCTTCTATCTGCATTTAAAATCTTTGCAAATCTATGCAGATGGCATCACCGGCCCCTGGGAAGTGAGTCCTGATGGTCTGGCCTTAATGTTGAAGTGTATTGGAACCTACAGTTGCTTCTTGGTTTGGGGGTGCTGTGGCTATTTGGTTTTTAGCCACAAGTCTCTTTAGCCTCCTCTCGAAACCATACAATGAAAAGAAGAAAGAAAGAGAGAGAGAGAGAGAGAGAGAGAGAGAGAGAGAGAGAGAGAGAGAGGAAGGAAGGAAGGAAGGAAGGAAGGGTACCATGTAGGTCATTTGGATATGCCTGTGACCCTGCCATCAACCCCAAGTCCTCACCTCGGTTCTGTCTCGCGATCTACGGAGACCACCAGGGGCAGAGTTAGAGGGAAAAAGAGTCTCTTTCTAAAGAATGTTTGCGTATCTCTGTATCGAATAGAAGCAGGACAAAGGGCTCCACTGTCCTCACGGGGCGGGGTGAGGGGGCTCCACTGTCCTCACGGGGCGGGGTGAGGGGGCTCCACTGTCCTCACGGGGCGGGGTGAGGGGGCTCCACTGTCCTCACCATTTGCCTCAAGTCATAGTTTACTGCCATCATTCCAGGGTACCTGGGCTATAATCCATCACTTCTTTAACTACAATTTTGTAGAACTGGGTAAATCTGAGAATTATTATTATTATTATTATTATTATTATTATTATTATTTTATTACAGCAATAGTTTTCTCCCAGCCAGCCCTTCCCCCCAATCCAATTTCTATTTTTTTTTTTTAATTGCTACAAACCCTGGCCTCTATGCTCAGGTACCTGCTGTTGCTGTGTCTGCCTCTGGGGGCTGGCAGGAATGGTACCATGGCTGAAGGAATGGGGAGAATTATGGGGAATTCCTGATTCCTCTACTGTAGGCAAGAGCACAACCCGGACGCTGGCATGTGAGGTGAGCCCTGGTTCACGTCATCTTCCCAAGACATTATGTGGTGGGCTCTTCAACCCCTAGGAGTGGAAGCCACCTCAGAGAGCATGGAGTCTAAAACCCTCATTTCCCAGACAGAAACAGTGATGTATGCACTCCTGGGGGCAGATGGGAGGGTGGGAGCTTGGGCTCTGGTGGCTGACTGTCACAGATGCTGACCAGTTCCTCCCGTTCCCGTTCCCTCCTGCTGTGGGTCCCTGGACTTTAACTCTGCTGTTCTCCTCCTTCCCATGTGTGAATGGTGATAGAACCGTCGTCCGAGTGACACAGCACACTTAAAGTGCTTGGAGCAGTGAGCCATGTGGTTGTTACTCAGCAAAGGTATCGAGACCACAGCAGAACCGAGTCCTGGCTTGCCCAGACAGAAGTGAGGCCAGAGAAGTTACAGGCCTCATCAACAACTGTAAGCCTCATGAGGGGCAAAGGAGTCCTGCAGGCGAGTTCAGCTCCCTTCCTACATAGCACTGACTCCCGTTGCCAGGGACCCTGGTGAAGCTAAGCCAGGGACTCAGGTGAAGCTAAGCAGGAGAAATAATTGGTTCCTTGTCCTGCTTCCCACCCACTCTCAGGTAAAGGTCACTTGACCTGTCTTCCCCTGGCAAACCAGAGACTGTATGCAAATCCTCAGGGCCCCGCCCCAGGCCCCACACAACCCCCCATGGCCGTTCACTATCACTGTTGTTTGAAATGTAGGCAGGAACCCGTCCGTCCGCTGCTCATGACCGACCCCCTCCTTCTTTCAAGCCTGGTTGTCAGCACAGCTGGCTCGCTCTCCTGCACACTCCCACCGTGCTGTCACAGAACCCCGAAGACACCAACGTTTCCACTCCTTCTTCGCTCGGAAGGTGACTCTGCAGGGCCCTCCTCCCAGCCCTCTCCTCTGCCCACTCCTACTTGCTATTCTGACCAGGCTCCTGTCTCTAAGGAGGCCTCCAGCTGCCTGGCCTTGAGGGCTAGAACTGGCTGTCTTCTCTAACCTCCCCCTCCTTCCCTTTCTCAGCCTCGCATCTCCATTTCTTCTCCCCAGCTCTTCAGGGCTCATCTTGTCCCCACGGCGCTTCTCAGGAAGAGGGGGTAGACTCTGGTGATACGTCTTCAACGCCCAGTGCCCTGGTGCATCCTAATCAAAGTCCCCGACACCTCATCCCAGGTCGGGAATGCCCTGTTTTTTTGTCTCCCTCGCCAGGCAAGTTAAGGACACGGACAGGACAGCTACTGAGACACGTAATTGTCATTGTTCAGGTCTGTGATCCCGGGGAGCTGCCACCTCGGACGGTACAGTGAGTGACCTTGAGCTGACCAAGAGAAACGCTGCTCTCCTCTAACATTCTTGGCGACCAGAATTCCCCCAGGGGAGCTGTTGTTTGAAGGATGAACAAGATCAAGAAGAGGAGAAAAATCACATCCCAGCCTGCGGAGTGGGAGAGTCTCGGGCTGTTTTATGTGGTCAGGAAGCAAGTTTTTGTTGTCGTTTTTTTTAAAGACCATTCCTTTCCGGGGAGATGAAGGTTAGCCATAAAGAACCATTATTCTCTATTATGACTCCACCCTGGCTCGAGACAAAAGGGATGCAGATGAGCGACAGGAACCCGCGCCCCGCCTTTTGTGTTTGCAATGGTGAATGTGCGCTCAGCTATCTATCCGGAGCCACGATGATTTCCTTTGCAACATGGCCCTGCGCCCTCAGTACAGTTTGTTATTTCACTCTTCCTCTGTGCTCACCTGGTTCTCATTCCCCCCAGCCTTTTGTTTCCTTTGGACTGGTGGAGTTTCACTCTCTCTTTCATCCATTCCCACAGGCAGCTCGCTTTTTCCTTCTTCCTGGGGCTTCCCAGCCCTTCGGCACTTTCCACACAGGGTCCTGAGAACCCAACTCGGAAGGTGGAAGGACTCACCACCAGATGGCACTCTATGGACTACTCGGCACAAAGCAGATCCGAATGGTTAAAAACATCAGGACGACAGCCAGGACTGTTACACAGACAAACGCCGTCTCAGAAAAAGTAAAAATAAATAAAAATTTTTAAAAAATCACTGAAAGCACCACAGGGCTTTTCTTATACCTGAGATATAGAGATCTCCAAAATTATTTTTATTTCTTATAAACAACAATAGAACATTTGCTCACATACACCCACATTTATCCACTTGTAATCATTTGTGTGCTACTATCAATCTATTCTAAATATTTTTTTAAAATATAAAAACATCTAGACAAATCTTTTGACACATTTCTTAATATTTTCTCTCTCATTAGAATGAAAAATAGTATAAATACTCGAGAGAAATTTATTTAAATGGTCTCAGACTTCCTTCTACCCAAAGGAGTACCCTTTTCTTTATTACAAGTGGGATGTTTTAATAATTATTTTTATTTTTCGTGCATTGATGTTTTGCCTGTGTGTATGTCTGTGTGAGGGTCCCCTGGAACTGGAGTTACAGACAGTTGTGAGCTGCCATGTGGGTGCTGGGAATTGAACCCAGGTCCTTTGGAAGAACAGCCAATGCTCTTAACCACTGAGCCATCTCTCTAGCTCCTGCTATTTATTTCTTAGGTTTTTTTTGAGACTCAAAACCATATGCATGTATTGTCTCAAACAGTTGCACACAAAATAACCAGTTCTTACCATGTTGAGCAATAAAGGAATATTTGAAGTGATTTCTAGATGTGCTTGTAAACCCCGTTAACAGTAGGTTGGACATCACAGCCAAGAGAACCTATCAGCCATCCGAAGACTGTTCAGGTATAAAAATTACTGGTTCAGTTGCATGTTGATTGGTATCAATAACTCCAGGGACCAAGAAGGTAAAGCCTACCATGGATACAAAGGGAAAAGATGTCTCAGGAACCCAGATTGCTAAGAAAGCCTAGATCTCTGGATGTGGACTCTGGTTCATACAGGTCATTTCCTCTGTAGTAGTGTGCACCTGAATCCTGAACCAGGTTCCACGGGTGCCTCTCCAAATCCCCTGCCTCCAAAGTAGAAAAAGGAACAAGGCACTGGAAGGAAGATTGTAGGAGTCAGGACATGGGATCTGCAATATTAAAAAGCGTCTATTTGAGAAGAAAGGTTGATTGGTAGGTGCTGTGAGCTCACGTGGACAATTCTGGGGCTCTGAGTTTTATCACTAACTGGGAGAAGGCATTTTTATGGGGACAGATTGGGTTAAACACATTCTTTGGATGGCCCAGAAAGAAGGGTTAGTAGCTACATCTAAAAATAGAAATGCTACAGTCAACATTGGCAGAAAAAAAAAAAAGACAAGATGGAAGATGCGGTTAGTATATAGTTCTACCATAAGCTGAGGATCCCTTGGTGATTGTGTGTGTCATGTGTATGTCATGCCACAAAACACCAAAGTAAAAGTGGCTGAAACAGCTAAATGTTTATTTCTTTTTTGCAAAACTCAAGATGACACTCTTGCTATGTTCTTCATGGTTGCTAGGAATAAGACTTCAATGCACGTCTCCAAACTTACAACTATACCATCTGCTCCCAAAATGTAGGAAGTGGGATATGCTTTTCCTTAAAAAAAATTTTTTTAAGTACATGATGTCATTGTTTTTTACTGCTGAGTAGTACTCCATTGTGTATATGTGCCACATTTTCTTTGTCCATTATCCACTTGAGGGGCATCTAGGCTGTTTCTAGGTTCTGGGCTATTATGAATAAATGCTGCTATGAACATAATTGAGCATGTGTCCTTGAGGTATGATTGAGCCTTCCTTGGGTATATGCCCAAGAGTGGTATAGCTGGGTCTTAAGGTAGATTGATTCCCAATTTTCTGAGAAACCACCATACTGATTTCCAAAGTGGCTGTACAAGTTTACACTCCCACAAACAGTGGAGGAGTGTTCCCCTTGCTCTGCATCCTCTCCAACATAAGTTACCTTCAATGTTTTTAATCTTAGCCATTCTGACAGGTGTAAGATGGTATCTCAGAGTTATTTTGATTTACAGTTCCCTGATGACTAAGGATGTTGAGCAATTTCTTAAATGTCTTTTGGCCATTTGAGATTTTTCTGTTGAGAATTCTCTGTTTAGCCTATAGTCCATTTTTTAATCGGATTGTTTGGTATTTTGAGGTCTAGTTTCTTTATATATTTTGGAGATCAGTCCTCTGTCAGATATGGGGTTGGTGAAAAATCTTTTCCCATTCTGTAGGCTCTAATTTTGTCTTATTTAGTGTGTCCTTTGCCTTACAGAAGCTTCTCAGTTTCAGGAAGTCCCATTTATTAATTGTTGTTCTCAGTGTCTGTTCTACTGGTGTTATATTCAGAAAGTGGTCTCCTGTGCCAATGCATTCAAGGCTACTTCCTACTTTCTCTTTTATCAGGTTCAGTGTAACTGAATTTATGTTGAGGTCTTTGATCCACTTGAACTTGAGTTTTGTACATGGAGATAGATATGGATCTATTTGAATCTTCTACATGTTGACATCCAATTATGCCAGCACCATTTGTTGAAGATGCTTTCTTTTTTCCATTGTACAATTTTAGCTTCTTTGTCAAAAATCAGGTGTTCATAGGTGTGTGGATTAATGTCAGGGTCTTCAATTCGATTCCATTGCTCCACATGTCAGTTTTTATGCCAATACTAAGCTGTTTTTATTAGTATAACTCTATAGTTGAGCTTGAGATCAGGGATGGTGATGCCTCCAGAAGTTGCTTTATTGTACAAACTAGGTCCTCTGTATAAGTGAGACAGTTATGTAGCTTGATCTGCTTAAGGGGCCCCTGACAGTAGGATTAGGATCCATCCCTGGTGTATGAGCTCGCCTTTTGGAGCCCACTACCCATGGTGGGACACCTTGCACAGCCTTAATGCAGGGGGAGGAGATTGGACCTGCCTCAACTGAATGTACCAGACTTTGCTGACTCCCAGTGGGAGGCCTTACCTTGTCGCAAGAGGGAATTGGGGGGCGGTGAGTTGGAGGAAAGGCTAGAGGGGGAGCAGGAGGAGGGAAGAGAGGAAGATCAGTGGTTGGTATGTAAAATGAAAAAACAGTTTTTTGTGTAAATGAGTGTTTTGCTTATATATATATGCCTCTGTACCACTTGCATGCCTGATACCCTTAGAGGCCAGAAGAGGGAGTCAAATCTCCTGGAAATAGTGACAGATGGTTGTTGAGTTACCCTGTGGGTGATGGGAATTGAACCCATGTCCTCTGTTAGAGCAGTCTGCTCTTAACTGCTGAGCCATCTCTCCAGCCTCTGCTTTTCCTCTTTGAAGCATAACCCAGAAATTACACACTTCACTTCTCACACCCATTTGGAAAGCAGCTGCCTGACCACAGCAAGCCAGAAGGAGAGCTATGAAATGTTGGTCTTGCTAACCCTGTCTTCAGAACTACTGTTTGTAGCTTGAGTTTTCCTGCCTGGCCCACAGTCAGGACAAATCTCTCTCACCTGCCAGTCCCACAGCCACTCAGACCCGACCAAGTAAACACAGAGACTTATATTGGTTACAAACTGTATGGCTGTGGCAGGCTTCTTGCTAACTGTTCTTACAGCTTAAATTAATCCATTTCTATTAGTCTATACCTTGCCACGTGGCTTGTGGCTTACCGGTACTTTACATCTTCCTTATCCTGATGGCGGCTGGCAGTGTCTCTCTGACTCAGCCTTCCACTTCCCAGCTCTATTCTCTTCCTTGTCCCGCCTATACTTCCTGCCTGGCCACTGCCAATCAGTGATTTATTCATTGACCAATCAGCAACACATTTGACATATAGACCATCCCACATCACTTCCCCTTTTCTTTTCTTAAAAAGGAAGGTTTTAACCTTTACACATCTCCAAAGTCAGCTTGGTATATTTGGGAATTTGGGCGTAGCTTCTCTTACTACTTCCTGCTGGAGGGGGTTGCTGTATCTTCTGGGGAAACAAAGAAAATTTTAGGATCATGGAGTAGTCCGTGAGGCTGTATCATCTGAGCCAGTTGCCTTGAAACGGTTCTGGATGTTGGATCATCTGAGCCATGGTGTCATCAGAGACCTTTCAGGTGGTCTTGGCTGGTCAAACCTGATGTGTCTTAATCTGGAACAAATCCATAGCCTCTGGCTTTCTGTGGAAACAAAAGCAGAGACTCTTTTCCAAAGCAACATATCCTTATATCCAAATTTTGAAGTCAAGGTACCTTTAAAATATGCATATTGGTTTAACTCAGCTTCCTTTACAATCAAATATCTCTCTGTAGTTAAGAATCCCAAAGACAACACAATCCAGATTCTCTGTGTGATATCCATCTTTACAGGGCTTATTTTTTATATTAATTTTACTGTCTCTTTAAAGACTTTATTTTTTAAAACTATGTATTTGTTTCTATAACTGTATATATCACCTTTTTTGTCTCTTTCAAGCCTACATATATTTTACACACATTTTAAACTATTACATCTGAATCTGTCTTATTGTGAATCTATTGCCTTAAACTGCAGCAGCTGTGGCTGCTGGCTCCACCCACCTCAGCTTCCCAACATGGCGGTGGTAGTTTACCACCAGTTCTGGGAGCTATCGTGGGTCTATGCTTTTATCCAAGCAGCATGTAGCCCAAAAACCTCTTTTTTTGTTTTGTACCTGCAAAGGCTAAATCCACCACGCAGCTTAAATGTGCCACTTGCAGAGGCCTCATTCCTGCCATACTGCAGGTCGAGCGCGCAGGCCAGCAACCCGCCAGTAGCTCAAACCGGCAGCTGCCGCTCATTTGAGAGAGACAATTAGGAAGCTGTTTTTAGCTCCGTTTTAGAATCTTTTTTTCTCAGTTTTTAGGTGGAAACTCTTGCCACCACGTTGGACACCATTTGTAGCTTGAGTTTTCCTGCCTGGCCCAGGGTCAGGACAAATCTCTCTCACCTGCCAGTCCCACAGCCACTCAGACCCGACCAAGTAAACACAGAGACTTATATTGGTTACAAACTGTATGGCTGTGGCAGGCTTCTTGCTAACTGTTCTTACAGCTTAAATTAATCCATTTCTATTAGTCTATACCTTGCCACGTGGCTTGTGGCTTACCGGTACTTTACATCTTCCTTATCCTGATGGCGGCTGGCAGTGTCTCTCTGACTCAGCCTTCCACTTCCCAGCTCTATTCTCTTCCTTGTCCCGCCTATACTTCCTGCCTGGCCACTGCCAATCAGTGATTTATTCATTGACCAATCAGCAACACATTTGACATATAGACCATCCCACATCAACTGTTATTGTGGGAAAGGGGAGGAAGGGTGTTGGTAGATAACCAGTGTCCTGTGCCATATGTGGAGTGGTATGATCAGGTTGCAAGAGCAGGTCTTAGGGAGCTGGTACAAACAAGGGATCATCTCTTCTGGATCTTGATGGAACTGAGGACCAGTGCCTCCAAAACAGTCTCACAGTTCATGATGTGCACAGCCTCTCCATGGAGAATTAAAGGCAGATGAAAGGAGGCAGAGGGAACTTGTACCACCACTGCATATTCCCACCCCCCACTCTATTTACACCTTTTCTCAATCCACAGCCTGGAATGGGAATCTGGAGACACTCTTCAGTCCCCTACATCTCGTCACATGAATGTAGCTGAAATCCCAGGCTTCCCTCAAGCCCCTGGATGATCCTCCCTGATTTATCTCCCCCCCACTCCCATTTCCTCACTTATAAAACATACAGAATCTCCCTCCTAAGAAAGATTAGGTATTAAATGAACTAATGCATATATTTTCTGGAAAATAATAAAAAAGATAATTTTTGAGTTGCTCCATTCATGCTTCATTAGTAAGTGCTGGTCTAATGTGAAATGATTTATTAATGGAATAGTTTAAAATCCACCTGAGTGAGAAATTTCCAGTTGCCCCATTTGCTGTAAAGGCTGTGACTGTCAGCATCCAGAACAGTGGTCCTTAGCCTTCCGAGTGCTGTGACCCGTTAACACAGTCAGTTCCTCATGTTGTGGTGACCCCCCAACCCAAAACATTATTTCCGTTGCTACTTCATAACTGTAATTTTGATACTGTTATGAATCACAGTGTTAATATCTGATATGCAGCTGGCCTTAGGTGACCCCAGTGAAAGAAGGGGTTGTGACCCACGTGGTGTTGAGAACCGCTGATTCAGAACATTCTCAAACCTATGTTCTAACACCCACACCACTCATAACATTCAACATATTCTGACCTAAAGCACGTGGATGAAAACTTTACAATAGGTGTCCCTAAGCCCCCACCACAGATTCCAGTAGTTTGTTGTAACTGTTGTGTATTAAACAAGGCAGCTCTCAGTGGAACATGAGGTGATTAGACATCCAAAGGAAATTCCCAATCGTCTAGGAAGCTTCACAACTGTACACGTACATTGTCCTGGAGATCCCAGCTACTTAACTAATGACATTTCTGAGTCCATTTCTAGCAGTTCATAGGAGCAGATTATATATGCTGCTTGCTGATTTTATGTTCAATGATAGTCCATTGGTAGTTGGAAATCAGATATGGTGGGAATATCTACACCATTGAAATCAGCACGATAAACCAGGGATCACTCACCCCCTCTAAAGAGATGCTCTTCAAATATTTAACATCAGACCACTGTCATGCACCACTGAGACTCACTGAAGGAAGGGATTTTACTACCAAGAACAATCCGCAGTTTGGTATCTGCTTTCTGGTACAGTAGTTTGGAACAGGGTCTGGAATGCAATGTTGTAGAGAATGTGGAGCAAG